TCTTCACCGTGACAAACCAAAATTGGGCAGCTAATTTTTACATATTCTGAATCAGAAAAGTTTCGAGAATTTTTTGATATATGACTCGACCTGTAACTCCATACGTCATAGAAGTACTTTCCTTGTTAAAAAGGGACATTAAAAAAGTTATGTATTTTTTTCAAGTTTGACCTTATACCTATGTACCTAGCAATATACCTATGTTACAGTAACCTGAGAAACTTAATTTTCAAAAAAATGTATTCCCAATGGTCGAAAACCTATACAAGCAAGATTTTGGATGATTTGCTTCTCTTTATGACGCCACAAGGTGAAAAATTCCAAAAAAGACAAATTTAAGCAAATTTATACCTTCCGGACAGAATTAAAAAAAAAAATATTGTTCGCTTTTGCTTAGCACATGTCGACGGTCATTTTCATGCAAAAAACTCAAAATCGATTTTTTCCTATGTCCGGGGTCCATTACGGTCTAACGCAGCGCGCCAAAAATCGTCTTTTAAGCTTTCGGTTTTTTCTGCAAAGCGCGAGCTAGGAGTTTCGCATGTCTTCAGAGAGATTACGCTGAATTTTTGCGTGCCAAGTTTCTCCAAAATCTGAGTGCCGCACTTTGAGAACTTCCTCTGTCTAGTTCTTCAAATTGAAATCAACAAGACTATCGTATTTCAGCAAATATTTTTAGTACAATGACATCTCAATTTTGGCCTTATGAATAATTTAGAATGTTGACTGAGAGAAGAGTTCGGACTTCAACTTCTGCTCATTATATCCGCCCCTTTTCTCGTTGTATGCCTGTATAGTATATGTTATATATACATATGGCCCCACAATTTCAATTATTTTACATTTTGCCTGCGGACAAAATTTTTTCGGAGAGAGCGGAAAAACAAAATTTAATCGCGTTTCGCTTTAATTTTGAGCGATTTAGGATGCCTCAGGGCTTTTGAGCGGTCTTGTTGTTGGAGTTGATGGAGAAGACCAAATTGAATTGCATGGTGCAAAACAAATACTTTAGAAACTGCAGGTTCAAAGCTAATTTCATCGCCGAAAGTAGCCAATTTTACATTGCCCAGCCTTTTTTGTTTACATATTTTTCTCATCACCAAATTCAAAATTAAAAAAGTCCCACTGCAATATGAAAAATGCTTGGTTTATATACTCTGCATTGTGAAGAATTTACAGCCTTTTTGGCCTTTTTACTTTGCCAGTTTAAGGTTTTTTCTGTGGCTGTTTCAGACAACTTTCCCATTGCAATGTGCAACTTCCATTTCTGCTCAAACATCAAACTTTTTCACTGGCTCTCTCAGACTTTTACCCCCAAAAAAAATTCTAATTTTACTTCTTCCTCAAAAACATTCAATTGCGTAATTACCTCGCATCATTCACAGAATTCTGGCCAAATTTGGCCATGGACTTTTGGTCGTCTGGATCCAGAAAACAGCTTTTTTTCGGACCGGGGGGCGGAAACGACTTTCTTACCTATTCAATTTCGATTCCCTTCGGTCGGACAAAGTTTTGGCTGGGGATGCGTGTGCTGTGCCAAAAATGATGTTTACTAAATGGGATGGAAAAGTTCATGGTGAGGATTTGCGGACTTTTGCATCGATCGGTCGGGGTCTGGCCTAAGTTTTGAGGCTAAACAAACAATTAAATTCGCGAACACTATACGGTAGAAACAGACGTGAACGTTGAACCTATACCATAGAAAATGGTGTAAAACTGGAGCCGGGTTTTCGCCAGGGATAACAATATAAAACCTTGTTTTCCCCTTCAAAACTCTCAAATTAAGATTCTGTTTTCCATCTTTTGTCTGCATAATCAAATTTTTATTGTTATTGATCATGGATACGGATATTATTATGCGATTATTTTGGGAATGCGTGCATCATAGAGCTTCTTTGTCTCAAAAAGATTCGTCAGATTTCTCGGCAAGGCCTGAAAATAAATTTTTGCCGCGAAAAAGGAATTTTTCAAGTGATTTGTTGACAATCTAGCGTGTGAAAGTTTTTGAGGTGGCCAGTCATGACGTCTCGTTTTCATCTCACTTAAAATTTTTTAAGTACTGTATACGGTGGTTCTGGATGGGTATTTTTGATCTACAAACCATCGAAAGGTCGCTGCATACAGTGGGGACCTGATCCAGTGACAAAAAACGTGCCATTTTGCATCCGGAAAGTGTCAAAAATGTGGCAAAATGCTTCCCTCTAAAAAGTGAAAGAAAACTTGGTTTTGAAGAAGGCGCCTTTGAAATCTGAGTCTTTTCACTTGGAGAGCGAGGTATTTTGCCACATTTTTTGATGCTTTTTGGATGCAAAATGGTACGTTTTTTGCCACTGCATCAGGTCCCTACTGTATTAATAATTTTTGATAAGTCAATTCCCGTAATTTTTGGCACCAAGAAAAGTATTGGGCATTTTGTCTCACCGCAAAATACGCTGGTCCAATGTAGCCGTACAGGCCCGCAAAACTAGTTTTTTTTTTTTGAAATGCCCTTCTTGGCTGCCTAAATCCCCTGGCTTTTCACTCCATTCCCCGATCCCAGAGGAACAAGTCTAAAAATTTTTTCCCCGTTGTAACAAACTCGGCCGAACACAATGGCAAATTCTCAAAAATCCCGGTTTCCGAACTTATCAATCACGTTTTGTAGTCTTCTTTATCACCCTATAACTCATCCATTTTTTCTCGCACATCACTTTTTTCAACTTATGTTTCAAGTTTCTTGACATTTTTTTTGGTTCTTCGAACCCCAACAGCCCCTAATCCCCGAAAATAAATTGAGACCAGGAAAAAATATTGTTCTTGTCACATTATTTGGCTTTTTATACCATTTCCCATCATGTTTCACACTTTTTCGAAGGAGACCGCATTCAGTGGTGTCTGCGGAATCCGAATTATGTGTGCTTTCGAAAAAGGGCAATGGAAAAGTGTCTTGTAACGTGTCAGGTGTTGTTGTAGAGAGACTATGGAGACGTTTTCTGTTGTTTTTTTATGTCCCATATTGTCTCATAAAGTTACAGACACGATTAAAAAACACATCTATATGAATCCTGGAAGCCATCTCCTTTTTTCAAACGGTTTCAGTTTTCAAGCGGTTTATAGAATTGTTGTGTGGTCTGGCTCCACCATGAGTAAAATTTTTGAATAACTCCATCTAAAAGGTACTGAAAATTTTTTCGTTTTTTGGGTCGAATTCACTGTAAAAAATGGATTTTTTCGAAGAGCGACGCTATTTTTGCAAAAAATACATAGTCCGAAGCCCTAGAGAATTCTCATGACTCTTTGGATGAAGCAAAAATGCTAAATCGTCCACCTCGAGAATTTTTCATTATCCTTACTAAAAACAAAAATCTTCGTATTTTTCTCAATTCTTTGGGCAAAAAATGGCCTTTGAGACACTAGATTTTTCATCCTTTTTATCTAATTGGTAAGTTTGGCCTATTTTTAAAAATCGCTCATTTTGCCAGAAGGCCGAAAAAAGCTATTGGAATGCTTTTTTGATGTTCGGTTTTTCCTTTCTTTTGGCACAAAGTGTCTGATTGACATTGATAAGGAAACGTTTCCCAGGGTGTTTATGATGCACATGCTGCAAGGAGATGTATAAAAAAGTAAGGCTAAGGACTTGTCTTACGACTGGAAGGCGTTAAAAATGTTGAAAATTGAGGAGTAGCCATAAGCCGATGGGTAATTTCGGAGAACGGTTAGATTGAAAATTCCTGCTCATTTTTATTTTCGATTTCTTGCATGCACTTTTTTCTAACAATAAGCAACAATATTTTTCCTAATTTGCCCAAGTTCTTCTTTTTTTAATTCAATTTCTTTTGTATTCATATGAAAAAACAGATGACATTTCCGGGAAAATCCACTTAATTATCCCCACAATGCACCCTAACCCAATTATTTTTCTCAATGAACTTTGCTGTGTTTCCTATTGATGGATGTCAAAAGCTAAGTTGACATTTTCTCCATCTTCTCATGTTTATTTGAACTTTTGCATCAGCAAAAGTAAACCATAAGTATTAGTAACTGTGGCAAAAACAGTTCCAAATTTTGTTTCAAAAATTTCTGGAATTCCAGACCAGTGTCCACAGACCGTGTTCTCATTCTCACTTGTCGGTTTATGGGTCGTTAGAGTCCGAAAAAATATGGTGTTTTTTTCAAAAACTACTTCCGTTTTTCGGAATTTTTAAGAGGGCGAATTTTCCAAGGGGTGATTTCTGGTAATTTTTTGATATTAGAAATTCATTTTAAACTAAAAAAATAATATAAGAGGCCTTGATAGAACACACTTTTTTGCGAAAAAATCCAACTGCTATTGGCTGTTTTTTACTGTTAAAATTCGATTATGGGTATTTTCCGCTGATTTAATATAAAATTTTTTTTGTTAAAAACTCCCCTTTTTCAGTTTGCCCGAGAGTGTTCGATTTCCTTGGACGAAAATTAATTGGCTCTGGGAAGATCATAGGGATCTAAAATAGAAGTTCAGAAATGACCTTTAGGCGGTTTTCACAGCAATTTTTAGGTAGAAAAAAGTGATTTGAAACCTTTGAAGCAAAAGTTTGAGTAGCCAAACGGTTTTTTTATTTTTTTTTTTTACTTTTTTTCTTTTGCCAAATATGTATATTTTTTTATCTGCTTTGGAAATCTTCTGAATAATTTTTTTACATACAATGGGGGATTTATCCAGTGGAAAAAAACGTGCCATTTTGCATCCGGGAAGTATAAAAAATTCAGGAAAACATATCCCTCTCCAAGTGAAAAAATAGCCCTCTTCTAAACGGAGACGGGAGGCATTTTGCCACATTTTTGATATTTCCCGGATGCAAAATGATACGGTTTTTGCCACTGGTTCACTGTACATACATGTCAACCTTTTTCTTTTCTTCTTTGACGCGCTGAAATTTTCTGTTAGACCTTTTGCCAACACATTCCAGCAATATTTAAACTTTTGTAGAGATCTTATCCAAGATTTCCCAAACCCAAATTCGCGACATATCGTGAGAAAAATGGCCACGGTCGGCCGGCGAACGGGACCGTGGCCCGCCCTACTCCTGCTCGTTTGTGGTTGCACTTTGCTGAGGTAAGTTTTTTTCAACATAAAAGTGGTTACAAGCAAAAACAATTTTTTGAAAAAAAAAATCGGTTTCCGAAACGTCAACAAATTTTACGTTGGAATATCTCTCACAAGGACGTGTTGGACGTAGGGTAAACAAAATTGGATAGAAGTTTGCTTTATTTTAGAGGATAACTTCCTAATGCGTGGTTTCTAGATCACGCTTGTCTGAAACCACCCGGGTTTTTTGCCGAAATTTTTCACTTTTTTCGCGATTTTTAGTTTACAAATTTTTGGCTCGATTAATATTCCAACGCACTATTTTTTTGTAAAAAATCAGACGTTTTGAAGCACAAAAAATGATGGGCAAAACCCGTTTTCCATCTGTCGCCTCTCCCCATTTCGCGTGCTCTCTCTCTCACATGATTGTTGAATATCTGTGGATGGAAAACGTAAAACTTCCCAATTATTCAACTGTCTTTGTCAAATAAGGCGTAGGGAAGTAGGGAAAGCGGATCGACTTTCTTTGCCGTCTATTTGTAAATGTCGCAAAAAAAATTTTATGTACAGTGACAGGGACCTGATCCAGTGGCAGAAAGCGTACCATTTTGCATCCCGGAAGTATGAAAATGTAGCAAAATGCCTCCCTCTCCAAGTGAAAAAACTTCGTTTTGAAGGGCGCGCCCTTTCCCTCACAAAAAGAGCAAACGGGCTTTTAAAGTTTTTTCACTTGAAGAAGGAGGTATTTTGCCACATTTTTGATCCTTCCCGGATGCAAAATGGTACGTCTTTTGCCGCTGGCTCAGTTCTTCTATAGGATACGTTCAACCACTTCCCGTTCGTGCTTTTAGATTATGCCTTGCTCGAGCAAATATTCTCCATCAAAAGTTACAAAAGAATTCACATGCTCCTCCAGTGGAACCGGGCCAGCCATTGAGAGTGATGATTGGCATCTACGTCGAGAGCATTGGAAAGTTTCAATCAACAGAAATGGTAGGAGATTCACGGTGTTTTGAGTTTGCTGCATTTGAGTTTTTTACAATGATATGTTCTCTTATTTCAGTCATTCGACGCGGATTTATACCTCTACATGAACTGGAAAGATCCTCAGTTGGCTCACAATGAAGGCGAATACATTTTGATCAACGACCCGAAGCTCAGGGAGCATATTTGGTGAGTCTGCTCGGCTAGCATAGCACACGTCCTACTATTTTTTAGGATGCCAGATTTGTATTTTTCCAACTCGCGCTCGGCCAAATTTCATGACGTCATGGTCCCAAATTTCAGTATTTTCGTCGCCGAGGATGGAAATATCGCGTATTCGGGGAGGTAATTTTTTTTCTAGATTTTGGGAATTCTCATGGTTTTTTGGGAAGATTAGCAGTATAGAAAATCAACCATTGCAGATTAACAATCACTGTCGCGTGCAATTTGAACCTGGTGAACTACCCGATGGATCGGCAAAAATGCCAAATCCGGACACTTAGCTGTAAGTACGGCGTGACAATGTTTTTAGGATCAATCTAATTTTACGACTCTATTCTTTTAGACGCCTACATTGCGAATAAAGTGAACATCACTTGGTTTTCCAAAGAGCCGATTCGGAAGAACAGTGCCATAGGACTGCCAGAGTTCGTTATAGACGAAATAAGCCCGTCCTATTGCGATGGAACATATCGATATGCCTTTATGGATCATTCGTATAAAGAAGGTGAGAAAAAAAATAAAAAAAGATATTAAAAAATTTAAAAAATTAATATTTTGAGCTGGAAGCCTATACTTTATTTTCAGACAGATTCAGTTGCCTCGAAGTGAATATCTACCTCCGTCGTGCCATCGGATATCATCTGGTGCAATCATTTACGCCGACAGCACTGATCGTCATCATATCTTGGGTGTCCTTTTGGATTGGTATGATTCCCAACCGTTTTCAGCAAATTAGGCCTAGCTCTAGATGCATTTTTTCTTTTCACAAATTACACCTACAGTGGGGGACCTGAGACAGTGGCAAAAAACGTACCATTTTGCATCCGGGAAGGATCAAAAATGTGGCAAAATGCTTCGCTCTCCAAATGAGAAAAGAAATCGTTTTGAAGGGCGCGCCATTTCCCTCACAAAAAGAGCGGGCGCGCTTTTGAAATCGGAGTTTTTTCACTTGGAGAGGGAAGCATTTTGCCACATTTTTGATACCTTCCGGATGCAAAATGGTACGTTTCTTGCCACTGGATCAGGTCCCCCACTGTAGCCCTAGATGTTCTTTAGGGATTGTCCTTTGCAACGCCCGTTAGTCCACAGTCTTTACAACATGGGCCCTAAACATGTCATGAAAGGACTGGGCAGAAAAAGAGAACTAAACTCTTTACAAAATATAGTTTATTTCGAATCCACGGACTTCAAACCTCGCATTTTCAGATCGTCGAGCAGTTCCAGCTCGTGTCACCCTCTCCTTTACCACGTTACTATCCCTGTCGACTCTCGGAAATGGTCTCCGGATCGGACTACCTCAAGTTTCCTATGCCAAAGCCTTGGATCTGTGGTTTGGAGGTAAAATAATTCTTTAATTCTAACGATTTGAATTAAGCCTGAGTCGTATTTTACTAATCCAAATACAACATTTAGTCTGCATGTTCTTCATTTTCATGAACCTCCTGGAATTCGCTTTGGTGAACAGCTACATGAGACAGGCCGAGAAATACGAAAAGATGGCTAGAACTGTGTCCAAACGGAAAGGTGAGAATCCTACAGTGGGGAACCTGATCCAGTGGCAAAAAACATACCATTTTGCATCCGGGAGGTATCAAAAATGTGGCTTTCCTGACAAAAAAGAGCGGTCAATTGATATTTTTTTATAAATCTGTATACAAATATAAATTTCAATCCTTTTAGGTTCATCAAGCGGCAATATCCCAACCGATGACGAAGAATTCCCTGTAATGAAGGAGAATCCAGTATTCGCTAACCGGAATGGCGGTCTTCGTGGTCGAGGCCCGGATTCTTGTAGGTTTTTATGGGGGGTTTTGAGCCTAACATCAAGGCATGGCTCTTGTAGCTGGGGGCTAGCAAATTGGGTTTCTTAGCAAAAAGAAAACTTGTATAGTATACTGAAAATCATTGCAAAATTTTCTAATCGTAAGTTTCACCGATTTCGGGCTCCAAAATTTGGAATGAAAATGCCAAGGGTCAGTACGGGAGCCTCCGTAAACTTGGGCACGTCATATTTGATAGGCGAAAAATGGGGTACCTCAGCTTCAATTTGATATAAATTTTATAGAAGTTGGTGCATTATTGGCGGAGGAATACTTGAAATAAGGATGGCAGCTTCGGCTGAACCACCATGTACTTGTAAAATGGAAAAAATGAGGGAAACTTTTCAAACTCCAAGTGTTGATCAGAGTTAAGCCAATTGTTGAAAAAACAGTAGTCGAGCTTACAGGTTTTGCAATTTTTGGAGCTTTAGCCGTGTAGTACCAGACGATTTTCGGCCATTCTCAAGAGTCATGTCTTCTTTAAACGTTCAATTTATTGAGTTCGTCTATAAATATTTTTACTAGTCCATGGGGCATCTTTTTTGTCACAATAAATCGTAATTCTAGCTTCAGTCTACCGGCAAGGAAGTCGATCGCCCGGCCAGTTCGGCCATCCTTTGGGCTTTCAAAATGGCAGCAATCATGGGTGCGCTCCGTTTCCGAAGCCCTACTATTCTCAACAGAACAGCTTCGACATGGAAATGAGAGAAGCGTCGAGGTTCAGCAGAACGCCCAAGTCGGACAGTATCTTCATGCCGTTGGATGAGTCGCCAACAACAAGAACAACATTCCTCAGTGAAGATGACTTCACAGAGAATGGATTTGGAAGTCGGAGGGGGTTCCCGGGAAATGGTAAGTGGTCTAAAGTTACAGTCACGGACCTGATCCGGTGGCAAAAAACGTACCATCTTGCATCCGGGAAGTATAAAAAATATGGCAAAATGCTTCCCTCTCCAAGTGAAAAAACTTTTTTTTGAAGGTGTTCTCTCACAAAAAGAGCGGGCGCGCGCGCTTTTGAAATTGGCACTGCTTTTTTTGATACTTCTTCCGGGAAGTATCAAAAAATCTGGCAAAATGCCTCCCTCTCCAACTAAAAAAGGGCAGGCTTTTGAAATCCGAGTTTTTCACTTGGAGAGTGAGGTATTTTGCCACACTTTTTGATGCTTCCCGGATGCAAAATGGTACGTTTTTTGCCACTGGATCAGATCCGCCACTGTACCAATATTGGTCACTTTGAAGTGCTGTCAGATTTCCGTAAAATAACTTTCTCATTTCTGCAAGCAAATTTTTCGCATTTTGAGGAAAAATTATACGTCACAATACATAGTCACTGGGTCTGTAATTTTCAAGCCTGAAATTGAAAAAATTGAGATTTTTTTTACACTTTCCAATCAAAAAAGGTCGTCGGTTTGTAGAATTTATATACGACGGGAAATACTTTCCTTTCCACACGGACATTATGGTTTTAAAAAGACACAACTTCTTTTTTACCAACTTATTTTCAGCCTACACTCAGATGGTGAAGCGAGCGCGGCCTCCAAGTCAACGGCGAGAACCAATCCGGAACCCAATCCAGCAGAATGAGTTCATCCGCACCGGGTTCGAGTACTCGCGCAAGGGCCTAACCGTCGACAAATACTCAAGAATCGCGTTTCCGGTCGCTTTCCTCCTCTTTAACGTTGCGTATTGGTGGTACTATCTGTGGTACTTGACTGAGTTCCCTGTTGAATGACAATTATTGAAAAGTCGGATTTTAATGTTGTTTTTTTCAAGTTTCAGAAAAATCTCAAAATTTTCATTTTTTTATTTCTAGAAATCGTTCAAACTGACGGATTTTTGAAAAAAAAAAATGAAAATCATTACTTGCTCCTCTTCAAATTGTATAATTTCCCGTGAGATTTTCACAGTTGTCTAGTCATCTTTTGTTGGATATTTTGGAATCTCAATGTACAAAGCTTATGAAGTCCGGTAATGTCTATAATTTTTGTTGTGAAATCATCATTTTTTAATAATAAACTTTTTATATAAAAAACGCTGAATAGGGTAGTATTCATAAAATCATTCAACTTTATAAAAGCCCAAATTCCAACCTCGCCTTTACTACAGTGAGGATTCGACTATTTCAAAGTAATATTGCGTCATTGTTGACCGGTTTTTGTGGATATGTTTGATAGACTGAGTACTAGATTTTTGGTTGTCATACTCTTCCACGGTCCGCCTCTTTCTTGGACAACTCTCCGCAACTGATAAGCGTTACGTTGGAGGCAATTCCGACGGTCGGCTCTGATTGAAGGGATTCTGGCTCCACTGAAATTTTGGGGTTTTTCGTAAAGCGGCTCCATCTTACGTGTAATCGGAACACTGCCGGATATTGTTGTGGATTGAGTTCCCTGTGAGCTCTGGTAGCCTTTCAAATCGAGCACTCTGACCGTCTCTTGTGGCCGGATGGACCTCTTCTTTCTGCACAGGCTTTTGAATCGGTTTCTCAGACCGAACATGTTCCGCAAATTTCGCGTTGTCTCTTGTGAGAAAGTGGAGCTCGAATCGTCATCGTTTTTTGGGACCATCTGAAGCACAACTCAGAAGCAAAGTTTTGCAAAAAAAATCAATTTCTTTTATTGTTACACACATGTACAGTGAAGGACCCAATCCAGTGGCAAAAAACGTGCCATTTTGCATCCGGGAAGCATCAAAAATGCGGCAAAATGCTTCCCTCTCCAAGTGAAAATACTCCGTTTCGAAGGGCTTTCCCTCATAAAAAGAGCGGGCGCGCTTTTGAAATCTGAGTTTTTTTCACTTGGAAAGGGAGGTATTTTGCCACATTTTTTGATGCCTCCTGGATGCAAAAGGGTACGTTTTTTGCCACTTGTTCAGGTCTTCCACTGCACATTCTTCAATTGTTCGAAAATAGAACATACCCGGGTGTTGGACACAAGATCCGGCATAATGGTGGCGGCCGAGCCAATCAGCGGATGAATTGTTTGATTCGACGCCTCCTCCGAGTACAGCGGAGTGTAGCCGTACATGAAGGAGTCGTCTTTCATCTCGGGAACGACTTCGTTACAAGGTCCCGCCAAATACATTGCAATCTGAAAGACAGATCATGCTACAAACATAGAAGATGGGACTTTGAGGGCCTCGTTTCTTTGCTTTTTTTCACTTCAACGTTTGCAAATGGTACACTCTTTTTTATGCATTCTTCTTGCAATCTGACTTACCGTTGCATTCCGGTCGATGATATAATTACATTCCAAGTCATCATCGTCCTCACTGAAGAAGATAACATTGAAACTCAATAAAAATTTCAAAATTCTTACCCTAGCGGATTAAGCAACGCTTCAGCGACCTTCAACCAGCCCATGTAAAAGATGAATTGTAAAATAGTCATGACAGGTATTTTTAAGTCGATCATCGTGTAGACGGTGCGTGTCACAGTGTCACCGGGATACAAGAACTGACGACAAATCAAGCACAAGATAAAGTACATGCGAACCGCCATAAACACGACTTGTGGATACGCCAACGGAACCGGCACCTGAAAAGATTATGATATAAAAACTTTCAAAAAATTGAAAGTAATAGGAAGGCTTGTATTACCCAATCATAGTTGCAAAGGACTTGCAGACAAGACCGGAAGTTGATGACTTCTCGGATAATATTCGAGGCTTGAGCGTCACCTCGGATGTAGTTCTCATTTCTCGCGTCTTGGCATATTGTGCATGCCCAATGAATGGGCAACCAATAGCGGTTGTATTTGTCAGTGACCTGATCCATGAGTTTCTTTTCATGCGGCATCATAAAGCCTAGAAAAGAAGGAAAAAACTAGTAATTTATGGGGTTAGTACTCTTTAAAAAGCTCAGTAATTTATAAGATTAGTATGCTTTAAAAAGCCCAGTAATTTAGTGGGTTAGTACGCTTTAAAAAGCTCCCCTACCTGCATTCACAATGGACTCCAGACTTGGAAATCTCTTCCGCACTTGCAAGCTGATGTCTCGAAGAACCAGGACTTGTGTAAGGACCATATATCGTAAGACATTTCGTCGCATCTTCATTGGTCGCCCTTCCTTCCCCCAAAACACTGCGCTGATGTATATTGCGGCACTAAAAAATATATTTTTTCAACTGTATATGCCTTTATTGTAAAGATATAATAAAGTCCACAAACTCATCAATGAAGCCGATGTTGGCAAAAATGTTCTTCCAACGGTCTACCACAATGCTCACAAAGAAACTGAAACGAAATGTACGGTTAAGTTGAGTAATGAACGATAGTAGTCTGCGTAAACGCAGACGGCTATCGTAACGATTACATAGACTTACCCCAACATAAAAGTTAGTGGCAAGTAGTCAATCGTCGCATTCGAGTACTGGGCGAATTTTGCAAATAATCTAAACTATATCGCTTGGATCAGCTTCCTTAGTTACCTTCTTTGTGTTTCGGTCATGAAATAACGATAAGTCATCATTATTACGTAATACATGATGACCCAAGAAAGAAGCTCAACGAAGACGGACTTCCAAATCGAGCCTTTCCATCGGCAAATAATCCGGAGAAAGGAAAAGGTTCTGCTCGAAGAGATATCGCCATTGTAACTGATTGTCATTGTGGGATCCGTTGCATACAAGAAAACTAATCAGTAGATTCGTCAATTTTGACGGTAAAGATAACCGATTTCAGCTTTGTAGTGGGAATGAAACAAGTAATTCTTCACATGCGGCTTCCCCAAGCTTTCGATGACAGGATAAGAGCAGACGAACGTTTGTTCAGTCGGACTAGGCCCTCCGATTCACAAGGAATTATTCACGGAATCCGGCCAAAGGTTGCGCGATAAGCTTTGATTCGAGTGTGCGGATTATTTGAACAAGTGTTTGTTCGATTAGAAATTTGATACGGCCTTAATATCGACGAGATTATAGTGATTTATGATTTAGTCGGGCGCGTTCTTTTGAAAACGTGGCTTTTTACAAGTGCGTTTTGTTTCTTGCAAATAACGTTGAAAAAGTCTACCAAGCGGTGATGGAGGATTACGGTAGAACTCGACAAAACATGTTTTGCAGCTGTTGCACAGCAAAGTAAATAATATGCCCTTTATGGCCTGACAAATTCGGGATCTAGGCGTATTCGATCCGCTTGAGGTTTTCAATGCATGAAAAACAATTTGTCAAGATCAGATTTTACAGTTGAAGCAGCCTTTTGTTTTGAGAACTATAATCCGTAACCAGTAAGTATAAAGCAGAGCTTTATACAGGGTGGTCCAGCTAAGTTCGCGGATGTAAAATGCTTATAACTTTTTATAGGATTGTTCAATTTTTATGAGCAATAGCTCATTTTATTCCTTAGTAGTTGCCATTTTGTTTAAAAAAAAGATCATTAAAAACGATCAATCCTACGTCGAGATATGACCCTTCAAAGTCAAACATGCTTTTTCACGTAAATTTTTAAAAAAATTTAATTTTCAAAAATTTTTGAATTGCGGTGTCACCGCTCGCTGTTACCGGGAAATGATGGTGAACAGAGCGATCCCAGCAATGCAAAATTGGCCCAATTTTGCCAGTCTTTGGTATTCTTCCATAATTTGGCGCCTCATTTGTTCATCCTGGCGAACTCGTTCCACCTCTTCTTCGATTACGCGCTTCAATTCGACGTCTTTGGGCGCCAATCCCTGATGAAAATCCGCTGTTTTAAGAACCCCCAAGTGGAGAAATCTAGCGGAGTTAGATCAGGTGAACGCTGGGGCCAAGCAATTTGAGCTGGTTGCCGCGCAGATCCCCGGCCCATCCAACGACCTGGAAAAACCTGGTCAAGGAGTTGACGGACCGCTATAGCAAAATGAGGTGGCGCGCCGTCTAGACTGGCAAAATTGGGCCAATTTTGCATAGCTGGGATCGCTATGTTCACCATCATTTCCCGGTAACAGCGAGCGGTGACACCGCAATTCAAAAATTTTTGAAAATTAAATTTTTTTAAAAATTTACGTGAAAAAGCATGTTTGACTTTGAAGGGTCATATCTCGACGTAGGATTGATCGTTTTTAATGATCTTTTTTCTAAACAAAATGGCAACTACTAAGGAATAAAATGAGCTATTGCTCATAAAAATTGAACAATCCTATAAAAAGTTATAAGCATTTTACATCCGCGAACTTAGCTGGACCACCCTGTACATACATATTTGCGAAAAGGTAGAATGAGATTTATTTTAATGATTTTGTTCCTGATCATGATAAGCAAATGCGCCTTACAAATTTATATTTCTTCAGAGTTTGAGGCAAAGGGCGTGTCAGGCAACAAAACAGCCTACAGAACTAAAGGTGCTGCTAGCATCAGCGGATTGAGCCTGAACTCTCCCCTTTCCGAACCGTCCCCTTCCGAACTCTCCCCCTTTTTTGAACTCTCCCCCCTTCCGATCTCTCCTCCTTGAATGAACATTCCCTTTTTTGAACACTCCCCTTCATTTTGAAAATTGAAAAAAAATGAAGTGTGACATGTTATACGATGGAAATTTTTTCAAATTGAGACAACGATTCAGCGGACTCTGACGAATCTCTACGCTCTCCTGAATCGGAAAAGAGTCCTGAAGAAGCTCCACAATTTAAGGCTATCAAGTCTGCTATAAAGCTAAACCATTGCATTTTGTCTTCGCTAGAATGACTGTTTGATTAACAGGCGTCTGTTCGAAAAAACCTTCCTATGGAAACGGCTTTTTACAATTTCCTAATTTACATAGAACACAACTTGCAAATGCTGTCATCTTTATTAGAAAGTGTATGGAGGGAAATAATTATATATTTATGGGCACAGTTCGCCTTACAAGGCACAACCAGGGATTATATCCACAGTAAGTTTAAACCACTGATGGGGGAGTTGGTGGACTTCCGGTGAAGCATGGTGGAGGTGGAGGAGGGGAACCGGTGAATCCTGGTGGGGGTGGTGGCGGGGGTGGAGGTGGGTGAGGGTGGTGTCTTCCTGGCCTGTGTGGTGGACCATGTGGCGGTGGTGGTGGGGGTGGGGGTGGAGATCCGGTGAAGCCTGGTGGAGGAGATGGTGGTGGATGCGGGGGTCCGTGAGGTGGTCCGTGTGGAGGCCAGTATGGTGGTGGTGGTGGCGGCGGAGGAGATCCGGTAAATCCTGGAGGAGGACACGGCGGTGGTGGCGGAGGAGGAGGTGGATGATGTCTGCCAGGTCTGTGAGGTGGCCAATGTGGTGGTGGTGGAGGAGGTGGCGGTGGAGGGGATCCAGTAAATCCTGGAGGAAGAGACGGCGGTGGAGGTGGTGGTGGGGGTGGTGGTGGCGGCGGATGCTCCGGTTTACGTCCCTCCTCCGGCGGTGGCGGGGGAGGAGGTGGCCCAGACGGCGGAAGTTCCCGACAATCGCATACTGAAAAGCCAACTAGATCTAAAGCGCTTGAAACTTACCGCCTATGAAGGCAAGAACAAGGGTTCCAATAAACAATGCCGACCGCATTGCTGTGTGTTGGTGATTCCTCAACCTATTGCGCCTTATATAGCCCACGGTTGAAGGCAGGTCAGAGCTCTGCTGATAAGTGTTGGCACAGCCTGTTTGAACAAAAGCATGATGGGCAAATATAGCACACTAAGTTCCATGCAAATGACTGCACAGGAAGCCAAACCACAAGCCTATTGTCTGTTTCTCTGATTTGTTATCGGAAATCTTACATGAATGCTGTTCGTTTGTCATAAGTCAGAGGTGGACAAATTACTAAAAGAACAGTGACGTTGCGTTTATCAACAAAACCAAACTCTGCTTATCAGTGCATCCTGAAGTTGTCAAAACACACCTTTTTCGAGCCACAAGACGCTGTCATTCGCTGTCACAAACGGAAATAGGTCTTCCAATATTGAAGCTAAATTAAAAACGTAAAAGACGCTGGATTTTTTTAGCTGCCTTTCTTTATGCAGTCTTCATAAGCCATTTATTATTTTTCATTTATTTTTTAATGATTCATGTTTATTCACTGTTCTTTTTTTGGCATTCCATGTCAAAAAACGATTAAATTTTGAACACATTTCGGGCATAGGCCACACAGCATTGCAGCCGTTGCTGAGATGTTCAACCACCATCATCTTCTAACGCGGCACCGCCCAACCCTTCAACGTCAACAAGATCACCTACTTGGCCTGGGAGAGCGGTCAGCGTGAAAGACATTTCTGCCAGTTTCATGTGGAAGAAAATGAGTTTCTGTGAAAACGGTATGCTCTAGGGCAGAATTATCGGGGAAATAATGAGCATAACGTCGCTGAAGTGAAAAACGATTCGATCTTGCCCCGACATAACTCATTTACCTCCCTGTTGGCGCCGTTTGCTTTCGAAAACAGGTTAATTTTAGTGAACAACACTTTAAAAATTTAGTGAGTTGAAAAAAGATTGTAATTTTACCATACATTTAAACCATGACCCTAAGAACTCCTCTTTTCTTCAATCGAATACAAAATAAACTGCACAAATACTGCTGGTGAATTTATTTTCTTGCGCAACATAATAAATTAAATCGTCAAATCTCGTCTATTCAAAAGCTTGGTGGTGGTGGTGGTGGGGATCCACTGAAGCCTGGAGGAGGAGAAGGAGGGGATCCAGAAGGAGGAGGTCCAGGAGGTCCACGGTGTTGAACACTTCTTACTGCCCTTTGAACAAATGGTGGTGGAGGTGGTGGTGGGGATCCACTGAATCCTGGAGGAGGAGAGGGAGGGGATCCAGAAGGAGGAGGTGGTGGTGGGTGACCGTTCACGCTTCTTGGCTTACGATGTCCGTGATGAGGTGGTGGTGGTGGGGATCCACTGAAGCCTGGAGGAGGAGAGGGAGGGGATCCAGAGGGAGGGGGCCCACGGTTTTCAACACTTCTGACTGCCCGGTGGCCAAATGGTGGAGGTGGTGGTGGTGGGGATCCACTGAATCCTGGAGGTGGCGATGGAGGGGATCCAGAAGGAGGAGGCCCAGGAGGTCCATGGTGTTCAACACTTCTTACTGCCCGTTGAACAAATGGTGGTGGAGGTGGTGGTGATCCACTGAATCCTGGAGGAGGAGAAGGAGGGGAGCCAGAAGGTGGTGGTGGTGGGGGTGGGTTACCGTCAACGCTTCTTTGCTTGCGATGCCCATGATGAGGCGGCGGCGAGCCAGTAAAGCCGGGTGGAGGAGAAGGAGGGGATCCAGAAGGAGGAGGCCCGTGATGATGTCCTTCCGCAACTGCAAAATGTCAGATGTAAAAAACCTAAGGTTTCCAAAAACACTTACAACACAACACCGTCAGAAGGCAGAGTCCAACGACGGAGGTCGATCTCATTGTAGTTGATTGGTGGCAATACTCATCGCGGCCTTTTTATATACCATTCCTATTGTTGAGACATACCTTTTTCATCAAATTAAAATTGTTAGCTTAGCTTGGCTTCAAGAAAATCGCAGTCAAAAACAGTGGCCTATGAACTGTCTGTTTGATCAGCATTGGCTAAAAAATTGATTCACGTGAACCACGGGGAACGCCTCTGCTCCAATACGGGTAATGATCACAAAACAGAGCTTTGTCTATTTTTGCTAGGCTTCAATAAATGTGAGCTGTACTGATAACGTCTTATCAGCGTCCAGCTTATGAGTGGGTTGCATTAAAAACATGAAATTTCGATTTATCCTAATTAGTCATACTTAAGAATTTTGTCGTATCTTCATCAAACGAAAATTTTCTTTGTCTTTGGAAGCCAATGTCAGCTCCAAAGTATGTCATTCATTCATACTGAGATTCTCTAAGACAGTGTAGACTTCGATTTTACATAGTGCAGCTTTTCTCAATAGCGAAAGTAAAAAAATGTTTCAGAAAGCTGAAAAAAACCATGGAACCTCGGATCATTGAAATTTTATTGCGGTTAACGTTTTTTCACTTTTTCTTTGACTTGTTACTTTACGGTTTTGCTTGCGGGGAAAGTACCCCAAGTGCGACGCTCAGATTTTCTTTAAAATTTGCACACACGTCGGGCAAAAACTAAACATTAATTCCTGAGAGTTTTAGCTCGCGCTTTGCAAGCGCCACCGAGATATTCAACAACCTTTTCCGCCGAGAGAGCACGCTAAACGTGGAGAGCGGTCAGAGAGAAAAACACCTTTTGGTCGTAAATTCGCTAGTTTCGTGCGGAAAAAGTTGATTTTTTTATGGAATTATTACCCTTTACGGAAGAAATAATAGAATAGGTACGAAACCTTCCGTGCCAAACTTCAGCAATTGTCAAACTTTCGCCGATATTCGATCTAAAAATCTCGGTTGTTTCTACAAAGCGCGAGCTAAGATTCTCGCATCTATCCTATAAAAAATTACTCTAAATTTCTGCCGAGTTTCATCAAAACCTGGACGTCGCACTTGGGGAACTTCACCTGTTAGTCGAACGCATACTGCAAACCCAAAAAAATAAAAAAGAATTGTGACACCTTTATGCGAATTTTGACACGAATTTCATACGTTTTTCTACCATAGAGGATAATGTTTCCATAAAAAATCAATTCTCTCCGCACAAAACTGGAAAGATGCGGCCAAAAATTTGTTTTCTCACTGATCGCGCTCCGCGTTCCGTGCATTCTCTCCGCCGAATAATAGATCGTTCAATATCAGTCTGTCGGAAAAATAACGGCGGATCGTCGCAGCAAAATGTCTCGCCTCGCCGGTATCGCGCGCGATCAAAGCGCACCAAATCCCAAGTCGCGGCTTGCAGTCGCAAAGCGATGATGAGCGACTACGAGGCGCGACGATCCGCCGTTTTTTCCCGACAGACCGATATATCGGCTGCGCCTGCAATGTGTGAGATAAACCTCTTTTATAAATTTTATACATGAAAATTATTCTTCAAAGGGGAAATTTTACAGCAAAAGATAATTTTTCTGCGCAAAATTTGGCTGAGGGCATTGCCAACGACAGTTAACTTCGGCATTGCCGTATTCTTCAAAGATCGTTTGAAAAATCTCGTGACTTCTCCTGGAAGACATGTACACATATGCAAATTACCGGAATATAACATTATGAGTTATTTATTGATGGAATATTCGTATGAAATAAAAGTAGATAATTTATCACTATTCTTTTGCCCCTCTACTCCAAGCTTGGTGAAGGAGACGTGGAGAAAGGAGGGGGAGAGTGGGAATGGCCGGAAGGACGGTGCCGATGACGACGATGAGCACTTCTGGGCTTACGGTGACCGTGGTGCGGGGGCGGGGATCCAGTGAAGCCTGGTGGAGGAGATGGTGGGGAACCAGATGGATGTGGGTGTGGGTGATGAACATGAACGTCCCTTACCTCGCGGTGATGTGGAGGAGGTCCGCTGAAGCCTGGAGGAGGAGAGGGAGGAGAACCGGATGGTGGCGGAGGCCGAGATCCACGATGCTTGTGTCCCTCTGCTGTAGAGATAATTTAAAAATTACAATGTTGAAACCTTACCGCCCAAGAAGGCCAGAACACACAAACCAATTAACAACGACAACCTCATTGTTCCAAAATTGATGACAATTCCTCGAAGCATGGCGTTTATATACCACTGAATGTTTTTCAATTTTTTCGGTTTAATGTTTAATCATCTTCCATAAAAAACAATTATTCTCTTGGCCAGCAGTCTTTTTATGTGCGCAGCTGGAGTCAATTCACAAAAATCAAGCCAGCCGACGTATGACATCTCTGATGCAACATCTCAATTAACTTCTGAACACAAGACAGAAAAAAGGTAACGTATGAATGATGACGGGTTTTACTTGTAATATTTCGGATGTGGATTAATTCAGAAGGAAGGCTTGCAAGTGCGACGCTCAGATTTCGTTTAAAGAAAGGCCATATAAGAGGGGCTCTAATTTGTAAATTGAAATTTTTTCGGCCATGATGCTCAGCGTTTCGGCCATATCGACTTTTGTGTCTCGCAACTTACAAAGCTCAAGAAAGAATAAGACGTTTCCTGAACGGCACAATGTAAAGAACCATTCGCATCTCGCGTAGTCTTTGCTTATTGTGTGCCTTGTACAGTGAAGAAAAATAAATGCCATGGCCGGAAAGCGTGGCAGAGCAGTATGGCCGAAAAAAACTTGAATTTACCCGGAACCCCTCTTATAGTATGTCAATTCTTGGAAAGGATTTTTTGGGGGAAGCATTACTATCTATGTTAGAAATACTCATCAAAACTTCTCATGCCAAAATTTGCCAAAAAGTGTCACTTCTTTGCCGACCGTTCAAACTCGGTCGTTTCTGAATAGAGCGAGGTATAAAACTGAAATATGTCTTTAAAAAATAAGTTAAATTTATGGTAAGATTCATCAAAAATTTTGATCGTCACACTCTGAGTACTACTTCATATAAAAATATTCATCATCAACAATTCTGTTGGATAGTGAACCCCCAAAAAACAGAACAAAGCACTTGAAACAAATCAGAAGTCATACCCTTAATGGTCAAATCACCGCCGGACACTACCATCGTTGCCCAGTTTTTTACGAGGTACTGAATAATTACGTCAAAAACGAACGATCTCAGGTATTGTGCAGTAAACTAACTATACACTTATTGGTCATATCTTTGTCATTTTCGCTTCGGAAAATATTTATTATAGTTTTTGGAAAATTATCATCCTTTATGATGCTGAATTGCAATGAAACCTTTTCTGCCAAAAATTCGCAAAAAGTGCCACAGTTTTTTCCAAGCTTTTCCTAAAAAATCTTTGTTGTTTCTGCAAAGCGCGTGCCAGAAGTCTCGTATAAGTTCTCCCTCGAAAGATTTGTTGTAAATTTTTGCCATGTTCAATCAAATTTGCAATCACTTCTCCCGATGAAAACAATTGTTACACCAGCTTCAATTCGATGGTTAATCGCCATAAAACAGTGATAAAACACATGAATAAAACACAACAACAGTGCCACACCATAAATCCTCAAATTATTGCCAAATGTCTCCGCTGTTACGAAGCTTTTTTTTTGCGCTCGTACCAGGCTTAACAATCTGATATTATACTAGACATCAATAAAGTCCAGAAAAAAATCCAAAATAACGATTCCAGTTGATTTACAGTATGCTGAATGAATCTCATCTCTAAACAAGCACAAAATTTCTGGAAATGCTATCTAAACTCATGCCTACCGAGTTTTGCTCATGTTTGCTTTATCATTCCAAAAGTATAACTTTCATCGTATAAAATGTCTCCGCGACCTGCAAAGTTGTTTACAGTGCAATAATTGCAATTTGCAACATGTTGTTTGTTTGATTTCACAACAAGATTTCATACAGAACTTGGTGATTTTTTACATTTTGAAACATTTTTTTTGGATTTGGAACATTTTGTAATTTGTTTGTTACCCTTTTGTGCTTCATTTTCTGATTTTTCCCATGTTCATCCTTTTCTAGTGCTCGCGACCTTGTCCTTTTCTGCTCATTTTTGTGGTAAACAACATTGTGTACTTGTCGAATTCCAAATTTTTTGATGTTTGTCGGTCGTTTCTTGATGTGCGTCCTGATGTATAACATAATTCGTCAAATTTTTTCAAGTTGTGTTGTGTAATTTTAGGTCATGAATTGTCGGTTTCGACGGAGTTTGATGGAGGAGGAGGCGGCTGTGCCGAAGAAACCACGTCTTCAGCCGGCGGAAGCGCCGAGGTTGTCGTCGAATGCGGCCTCGATTTTCGCCGAACATTACTTGCTGCATTTGTCACACATGGTTGGACGTCCATTCCCAGAGGTGGAGATGACCAGGGCTCTGCGTTTGGTGGTATGCTCTTTTTTGAATGCTTTTTTTGAATGTTTAGGTATGTGGTAGATAATATGTTGAATATATCGTGGATGTTTGCACACAGCGTAGTTGTTTGATGAATTCCATGTAAACTGAGGGTCGTTTCAAAGTTTTAGGGGTGGTTCGGGTGACGTCGAAGCCAAATTTAGACCAGTTGGCCGGGATAAGACAATTTAGGTAATACTGTAAAATTTTTGGAAAATTTTGGTGGTTTGCCATTTTAATTAGGAAGTTTATTGTCTGTGATCTTTTATATAGCCTGCTTTGCTCGTGTTTCGACTTTTTTGACCAGTTTTGTCATGTACAATTTAATTTTTGTCTACTGTTAAATAAATTTTGATGTTTTTGTTGAGGGTTTTGTCAGAAAAGTTTATAAATGGTATAATAGGAGAGTTATTGACTTGTTTGATGGTATTTCATTTTTGAAATCATTAATTTTCCCCGATTTCAGGCCATTTCGAAGCCTTTTGCCGAAGCCACACAACAAACCCACAAGAATCAAATCGTAGTCCTCGCCTTTCACAGTGACCGTGTTGGAGTGATCTCAGTGGCGGCTCGTCGTCAAGTTATCAGCGAAATCCCCCTCAAATATCAATTGCAAGGTGTGGAAGCGACGAAAAGATTCCTAACTTTGGTCTTCCCGAAACAAATGGATGTGGCCATAATTTTTTGCAACGAGGGAAGTGAATTCTCGCCCAAGGAGTTCACAAATATGACTCGATTTTTGATGAGTAAGCGTTTATTGGCACTGAGGAGTCCGGTGAGCGGAATAGACTCTTCGCTATCGGTTTTTGACACTTCGTCTTGATTTCACAGAGAAGTCAGAGAAAAGGCGGGCAAAAAACGTACTCTCTCGCCCCAAAAGTTCCCCATTTCTTCCCCGACAAAAAGGTTTTTCGCGTCTTTTTTTTTGGCGAATTGGCAATCTGTTCACTGGACCGTTTTAGATTATCTCAGTTTGACGTGCGGGGATGAATATCATTTTCTCAATCTTTAATCACCTTGACATTGTTTTAGACACATTTACTGGTCGATTTTTGTGGACATGTGGAAGACAGGTGCATTCCAGACACAAACGAAATTGGGCCGCCGCTTTGGCGGTTCTGGAGATTCTGCGAACCCGACTTTATATTGCTTACGGGCCATTTCATGCGTTGCCGTTTTTGGAGAACTGCAAATTTCATCAATTGATCATCAGCAATGTTCATCGAGGAATGCGTAAGTATTTTTGGTGTTTTTTTTTGTTTTTAGGCATCTTCTGCGATCTTTGCCTATTTTGGATGGTTTTTGAAAATTTGGCAGCTCGCGTCCGACAAATTCTTCAAAAAATATCGATTTTGAAAACGTTTTGGTTTTTAATTAGGCCAAACTGAATGTAAGGCCAAAAGAGGTGTTGGAAAAAGTCTACAGTGATTTACGAACGTATTGGGCCAGAGGTGGTATGATTTTTTGATGTTTTTTCTTTAAATATTTTTGTGTTTTTAGACCTCGAAGGCCTAGATGAGGTCGCGGTGGATGAGCTGACATTCGAAGGAACCTCCGATTTTCTCCGATATCTCCACGCACCACTTCCCGGCGTCAAATCGCTTTCATTTTGGCTGGGACCCTGGGACAGCATGCCAAGAACCCCGTACATGGAAGTGTTCCGACGAATCCCTGAATACTTTCCTGATCTAGAAGTGGTCAAGATGAATGATCGGTGCTTTTTGGACAGCTTTCAGCCATCTCATCGGAGAATTGCATGGAAATGGGATGAAGGATACGAAGTGCTGAGAAGGAATGTCCGGAATCTTCAGAATGTATTCCAGTGTGTGAAAGGTGAGTTGAGAAATGGTTTCTGAGGCTTGATGGGGGTTGGGGGTATTATAGATTTTTTTTCTTTTTTTTAGTTTGGCCTATTTTTTGATTGGCTGCAAAAATGTTGGATTTATGATCTCTGGTACTAATAACTTTTATTTTTGGAAAAATATTTTTAAAAAATTTTCTGCACAGGGGCCGGGATTCAGAGCCGGAGACCTTTTTAAATTTTTCATGGGAGCCGGGGCTGCAAATTTGGCCTCGGCTCCGGCTCTGGGAGCTAAGAGCCGGAGCCGAAATTTTGACCGTGGCAATCTCTGCTTGGGACTAACTGACAGGGGAAGTAACCCAAGTCAGATTTTGATGAAACTTGGCACAAATTCAGATTATTTTTTTTCTCAAAGGTATGCGAGAATCGTAGCTCGCGCCTGCAGAAACAACAGAGATTTTTTGATCGAGAGCTGGCGAAAATTTTTCATACCTATTTCTACCGTAAAGGGTAATTTCTATACAAAAATAATTTTTTTTCCGCACAAAACTTGCGAAGTTATGGCCAAAAGGTGTTTTTCTCTTTGACCGTTCTCCACGTTTTGTGTGCTCTCTCGGCGGCAAATATCGTTCAATATTACGGCGGCTCTTGCAAAACGCGAGCTAAAACTTTCAGGAATTGATTTTTAGTCCATACCCATATGTGCAAAATTTAAAGAAAATCTGAGCACTTGGGGTAGTTCCCCTGTGAGATTTTCGATTTTTATGTTGATTGGGTGTTTAGACCTTTTTGAGTGATAAATCTGTAAGCCTTTTTTGTGAGATTTGAACTTTCACGTCTAAAATTTCTCTCGGCAAGCATCACTGGTTTAAATTTGGAAAAAAAACTAATTAATTGATTTGAAGGAAATGATTGAAAATGTGACGTGTGAATGAAATAATAAAGCCTTTATCCTAGTTTTAGTTCTTTGGTTTCAGAGGCCGCCAAAATCAAGACCGAAATCCAGGCCGCCATCAGCTTATGGAACATTGATCTGGACTACAAGGTTGGGATCATCCGTGAAGTTATGGGCGAGCCGCAAAGGTCGCAGGGTGCCTTGAAACTGCAATATCAACTCGGCGATGTCTCCGTTTTGTTTCAGATAATCGGAATCACCATCGTCACTGTCTGATCAATGTTTTCATTTGTAATAAATACAGTATTTTGGATATAATTGCTCTTGTTTTTTTGATATTGGTGCTTGGTTTTGAAAATGTTTACTGAATTTTCTTGTTTTTTTGTTATTTTCCGTTCATTTCACGGCTCCTTGAGATCAGACAAGCATTTTGAATAGCGTATAGTGACGGACCTGATACAGTGGCAAAAAACGTGCCATTTTGCATCCGGGAAGCATCAAAAATGTGGCAAAACGCTGAAGGGCTCGCCCTTGTTCCTCACAAAAAGAGCGGGCGCGCTTTTGAAAATTGGAGAGGGAAGCATTTTGAAACTTTTTTGTTACCTCCCGGATGCAAAATGGTATTTACGTTTTTGCCACTGGATCAGGTTCCCACTGTAATATCAGTCTCTCAATGATCCAGTGGCAAAAAACGTATCATTTTGCATCCGGGAAGCATAAAAAATGTGGCAAAATGCTTCCCTCTCCAAAGTGAAAAAACATAGTTTTAAAAGGCGCGCCCTTTTCCTCACATAAAGAGCCCCAATTGTAACTTATGTTGAAAAAATCGACTTTAAGAAGTTCAATTGTTTTGATAAATGTCTCATGGGATGGCTCGGATATCCTACAACTGACGGATCATTGCGCATAGTGATTAATCAATTTTCGCGAACGTGTGACCCTAATTCGATGAACGCGGCTGGGATTACGTCAGCATCCATGTCTGTAAGATTTTATAACTAGTTTAAACACGGGGTATAAAAAAAGACGACGTTAGGGCAATACGATATTATAACTTCTTATTTTGACCGTTTTATCCCTTGTAAGATGTTGTTTTCAATTTGTAAATTTTCAATTCAACTGGAGTTTTAGATAATATCTAAAAATGAACGCGTTTTACGGCGAGGAAAAAAATTGAAAAAATTGATTTTTTGCAGTTGAAATTATGTTCCAAATCCTCCTCCTTTTCTCGTTGATCCTCATGGCTGCCGGTGCGCCGCAATGGGGCAATGACTACGGCAATTACGATCGTTTTGGCGGCCGAAATGCCGGCTACTACGGCGGTAACAACTACTATGAACGAAATGGTAGATGGGATCGAAGAGGAGGATATGGTGGTGGCTATGGAGGACACCATGATGGTGGACATCATCATCATCATCATGATAGATAAAATTCCGAGTTCAACTACAGTGACGGACCTGATCCAGTGGCAAAGAACGTGCCATTTTGCTTCCGGGAAGCATAAAAAATGTGGCAAAATGCTTCCCTCTCCAAGTGGAAAAAGACTTTGTTTTGAAGGGCGCGCCCTTTTCCTCACAAAAAGAGCGGGTGCGCTTATGAAATCGGAGTTTTTTTCACTTGGAGAGGGACGTATTTTGCCACATTTTTGATACTTCCCGGAAGCAAAATGGTACGTTCTTTTTGCCACTGGTCCCCCACTGTACCTATCATTTCAATGTGCAATATGTTTATAAAATTATTTTCTAACTTCGCTTTATTAGATGGTCAGAATTGCCAAGGTCAAAGTGACATGACAAATAAATCTTTTACGAGCTGACACTGCTTCCACATCTGCCGAAATGTGTCGGCACACATGATTTGAGGTGTTCTCTGAAACTTGCTCAAAATTTGTTTGTGATCTCATATGGGGCAACGGAGCCGCTCCGTACGGCCACACATTCCGTCTTTGACGATAATCACTTTCATTACCTCTCCCCTTCTTTTATCATGAGGTGTGAATCGATCGTAAAAGCCTGAGGCGCGATTGACGTCGCCCATAAAATTCCCGCGAATTTTATGGACTGTAGAGACAATAAAACTTGAAGCGTCGCTTATCGTAATTACAAAGACGACACGAAAGACTCTCCAAGTTTTATGTGCGATTAGAGATTCATGATTATGGACATGGTCTGAACAAACATTCAAATTCTTCCTCCCCTACTTCCCTTTCTAATGTGTCATTGATCTGAGGGTGCTCGCGTAATCGGGCGAAGGTGTGAGGTGTTAGGTATGGCTGTTGCATTAATTTTTTGCAATGTCAGGATTTAGAAGTTATTTTGTAGGAGGGGCACTTTAAGTTCAATTTCTGTGGGATTATAGTCTGGCAATTCTTCGCACAATTTTGTGGGTGGTATGAAAAGGAGGAAGCGTTTTATTTACCTAAAGATGAACCCATTTGTAGATTTTTTATGGTTACAAAATGAGTTTTGGACATAAAATCTCTTTAATACCCTTTTTTCTAATTATCATTTCTCTCACAAGTCAACGCCATTTTGTTAAAAAAGTAAATGTGATGTAAATAATTTGTTATTATACGCCCGGACATATATATCTCACCAGCCTTTATCTCGGCTGTTAAATGAGCAACATGTTCCAAATTCTGACTACCCTATCAAAACGAGCTGCAAAACATTAAGATGACCGAGTAAACTTTAGTAATTTTAGATAATCAGAAAGTTTTGTCTGCCAATAAAAAACTTGTATAACTCGCTTATGGACAGAAGTATGAAAAACATTTTTACGTGGCAGATTTTGCCTGTCATGATTCGTATACATGCCAAGTTTCAAAGTGATTGCGTTATGTTCACTTGAGATATGGGTGGTCAAACATTTATGTCCGAGAGTATAGATCTGTAACAAAAATCCAACCATCAAAAATTCTGTGATTCAACACAGTTCGTATTATCTTTCATAACACGATTCAACATTTGATACAACATACAAGCGTATTGGCACAAATAATTAGTAATTGATCCTCACTTTGTATTCTAGAAGACAATTCTTGCAAACGTCGGTGTTAGGGTGCAGTGGAGGAAAAAGTGGAAGGCAAACAGTTCATTTCAAAATGGAAAGAAGTCATCTGTTTGTCATGTGAACATTTCTCATCACTCTTTGTTCTCGAATGAAAGCGGATTGTAAATGTACTGTAGAATGTAATAGAATTCCTGCAATGCTTCAAGCGTTTCTTGCGGGCAAAATGTCCTCTAATAAGTCTAGTGAAATAGATTCGTCGCTTTTAGCTTGCGAATTTCTGACATTTTTTGAGTATTCAATTCAATTTATTTCACTAATCACATGTAAAAATCATGGAGTGAATCAGTAGGGTTTCCATTGTCCGGTCAATGCAACATCCTTCCATCGCTGGCTATAGTTCTTTGGTCCTTCTTATGCTGGGTCGTCCGAGCGGGAGTGTGTACAGTGAGGGACCTGATCCAGTGGCAAAAAACGTCTCATTTTGCATCCTGGAAGGGACCAAAATGACTCCAAGCCCTTCCCTAAGCTAAAAAACTCCGCTTTGAAAAGCGCGCCTTTTCCCTCAAGGCGGGCTCTTCAAAGCGGGGGTTTTCAGCTTAGAGAAGGGAAGGGTTTGGAGACATTATGGTCCCGGATGCAAAATGAGACGTTTTTTGCCATTGGATCCGGTCCCTCACTGTAGGAGGTGTCCTTTCCGATAGCATCAATACCAGAACAGTACATATCCCGAGATTTGTTTCACCGTTCCCTTTTTCCAACTTTCCCTGCTTCGAATTGATCAACATTGACTGTACAAACTCGAAATCCAGTACGTTTGGTGGCTACTGCCCCAGGCAAAGCCCTTTGTGCCCGCGACGGCATGGGTGGAAGGAAAAACCGACCGCTCTTCGAGGAGAAAAAATTGGAACTTTTTGAGTATGTAACATTTTCGTCGATTGCAATCGATGCAAAATCGGCTTATCGTCCTTGAAATAGCTGGCGTTTTAGGTCGCTGCACCGCTAATGACGCTTGAAAATCATAAACAATTTGTCATTTTATCCCCCTGAACTCGTAAATATCATGGGATTCATGATCTTTATGATCCTAAATACCGTTGTTTCTCGAGGAATCATGGAATTTTTTGATGGAATATGCGACTATTAAATTTTTTTCCTTGCCGCTTCAGTTCATCCGTTTTTGGAACTGATCAAGTAAGTGACAAGCAACGGCTTAAGTCGGTTTACGTGGAGGTTCTACATAGGTTATTTGTGATGTTCTCCTACTATTGTTTTTTCAAGAGTTGAATGGGGCGTTCTTCAAAGAAATCGGAGTTTTTGAATTGCGCGACAAATCCGCTTTTGTTTATGTTGTCATTTTAGTTTGTGCTTAAATACCGTAGGAAATGTAGATGGCTTTTGACAGTTTGGCAAGGAATAAATACACTCCGTTTCAAAATGGTAGACACGCCTATAAAATCTGCAAATGCGGTGTCGGGGTTCAGTTGACGGATACAAAGCCTTAACAGGTTAAAAGAGGAGGTTTGAAAACCTACACCTACAAATAAATTTTCTCGTTGTAATTGCAGTTTACACAAAAGATTTCCCAAATTTTGGGTGTATCAAAATGATAGACATGGCTGATATTTTTGCCAAAAACTTGCGCATATAGGCCCCATAGGGCCTGAGATTATTAGTATGACTGAATTGTATCTGCCTGGACTTTACTGAGCTCAAAACGCCCAAATGTTTGTGAATTGTCCGGAAATTGCACATACACTTCCATTTTGTGCAATCTGGCCTGCATCTGTCAGAAGTCCACTTTCCATGGGCGCAGACAGTGCAGTGCGACCTATGGTATGTAATGGGGTATATCCAGTCAATTTTCGCCGGTATGCAACAGAAAAATGCGTGGAAATTGGAATAAAAACTGATCGTATAAACTATATTCTTGGGTTTATCCAATTGAACTACCGCCGACATGGCTGTGGAAAATGGGGACACAAAGCCTAAGCGTAAACAGGAATGTTGTGGGCTGACTTTGCAGCTTGACCACTGAGTCAAGGGGCCCAAATGACGGGAGGAATCTGTTTGTAGATTAAAGTTTTAAAAATTAAAAATAAATCTTTTTGCGCGGTGCATTTGTTGTAGGGAAAGGGATTGTGTTGGCCGTGCTATTGTTGTTCCATGTGCGGGTGGTTTGAAAGTGTTGTCGGTAAGAAGTTTAAGGGTTTGAGTGACAGATTGTTTAGAAAAGAACGTACGTATTTGAACAAGTGGGGGAGGGACTGGCTTTGGTATTTATTGCCACAAGATATACGCATAATAGGGTTGCTCTGTTAGAACAAAGCCATCATTGGATGGGTGGATATTGGTCGCCAACGGCTGTTCTTCTGTAGTTTGGAGGTGGGGATGGGGACTAATTATGTTGTAACCAAAGATTGCCACGGCCCCGGAGCCGGCTCTTGGCTCCGGCTCTGAGCGGCTCCGGCTGAAAAATTTTTTGCACAGGAGCCGGGATTCGGAGCCGGAGACCTTTTTAAATTTTGCACGGAGCCGGAAGCCGGAGCCGGAGCTCCATATTTGACCTCGGCTTCGGCTCTGGAACCAAAGAGCCGGAGTCGGAGCAGAAATTTTGACCGTGGCAATTTTTAGTTGTAACTAAAATATGATCCTGTTGACCACTCTGAAAGTTTACAGTCTTGGTTTTGAAAACTCTGTTGTAGCTTTGAATAAATCTTCAACATGTCTCCGTGAATTTAAAAAGGAAACTATTTTTCATTTTTTTTTTAAATTTTATAACTTTGTAGCCGGTCAACCGCCGTTGCCGTGCTTTGTTTTTTTTCTGTATGTTGCGAAAAGCCTCAACCGTAGTGTAGTCATAGAATGCTGATTCAATGTATTCGAGGTGCATCTGTAGCGTAATAGATTGCTAATTGTACCTTGTGACGCGCTTTTTTTAACTATGTGAGTGTATCAGTTAGTGAATCTGTTTGAATGATCAATTTGTTTATAAGCTTTTTCAGTATCATCAAAGCCATAAAAATCATGGCGTTGATGATTTTTAGCTTAGAAAAGAACAGCATTTGCATATAGCAGTGAGTGGGAACCTACGATTTCTAGGCTTCAAAACAACATTTTTTGCTTACAATTTGGTGTGGCACACCTGTTTGTTCTGTAGATCATGCGTTGTGTTTCAAATTTCAGTCATAATCTGCGATTTTTAAGGAATTTACAGGATGAATGTTTACATATGTATATGTATAAGCGGCGCAGCTTTTATAATAGCTTAGGGAAAAGATGACTGGGATTTATTGTAGGCAGCCCAACGGCGTTATAAAGACTTGATTTTCTCCAAAATCTTTTCTACCCGGCCCGTATGTTAACTGCTTGTCCCAAGCTTGGCCCAACCGAGAAATTATGCCCCTTGCGGCAGATGATACCGCTGGATAGAAAGTTTCCTGAAGTCTTTTTTATTAGAATTCTTAGCCACTCATAATACATAGAGTCTCAAACACAGCAACACTAATGATACTTTGTTGATAACACTTTTCTTTTTCCACAAAGCTTGAATTCCCCTTGAACGCCCGAGTAGTCGCTAATCAACGTTTTTTTGTATCAAAAAAAGTTCCTTAAAATTACATTCACAAAACTAATTTTGTGTTTGATTAAAATTGCAATAATAACCCTTTCTTCAAGCAGTCACTTCTTCCCCCCAGCGGATGAAGAGGACGTACAGATTAGTTGGAATTAAAAATAACTTTGATAACAGTTATTTTGGAGACCTTTTGGTCGAGTCCTTCGATTATCGCCGTTTGTGTGGGTGTAGTTTTCGATTCTGGAGCCGAGTTGTAGTTTTTGCCACTATCTCAAGATTACTCAAGTTGAACACCCCCAAAAGGTGTGGAAAAGGAGTATTAAAGACGGCGAATTTTTAATATCTTTTGTTTCAAAACTTTTTTCATCTTTGAGTGAGGGGGATTAGGATTGACCGGTCAAAAATGCCCTTGGCATTTTCTCTTTTTTTCAGCGCACTGTCGAAAGAGAATAGTTAAAAATTCGGGCTGTGATAGGAATACGAATAAATATAAGTCTTTTAATAGAAAAAACAGAGGAACGATTCACCTAAAATTTATAGTAAATATACGTATATGCATTGTTGTGAGATGAGCACACAGCGGAACTGCCACTCATCAAGCTGCTCTCAGAAATGTCATGGTATTTGACCAGCATTTCATATTGTTTGCGTTTTTGTGTGTACCCAAGTTTCAACTTTTACTTGTATCTTATGCATCGTCATGCTCCACAAACTCACAATAACAAGAAAACTGTCAGATTTTCCTCAAATTTGCACGAATTTTTTTTCATATTTCATATGCAAAAAATTGCGTTACTTCCCAAATTTTGCCTTACATATCTCCCATTTACGTAGGTATTTTATTCCGGGAATATTTATGAAATTCCGTAGGCACTTTCCGGCCGTTCCGAATATATCATTATCCTCCCTTACGCTTACTGCAAGCGTATCGGAAAGAAGAAGTGACTTTCTTCCAAACCATGTTGTTTTGAACATGTCTGCCGGCAGTGTTTGTCGTCTGGGGACAAGACTGTGACAAGTTTGAAGGCAACCGAAAACTAACTTTTCCATTCTTTTTTGGAGATATATAAAATCCGGTCGAGTGCGTTGAGGGCAAAAATCTAGTCCTCAAACATGTCGGACGGTATGGCCAAAAATTTGAAGAGTCTTTCCGAGGGGTTTCAAAGAAATTTTGATTACGCTCTTCCCGGGGATTGGTCATCTACTGAGATCTCTTATATACTGTGGGGGGCCTGATCTAGTTGCAAAAAACGTACCATTTCGCATCCAGGAAGCATCAAAAAGTGTGGCAAAATACCTCCCTCTTCAAGTGAAAAACTTTTTTAAGTTAGAGAGGGAAGAATTTTGACACATTTTTTGATACTTCCCTGATGCAAAATGATAAGCGTGCCCGCTCTTTTTGGTTCGCGCTCTTCAAAACGGGGTTTTCTCACTTGACAAGGGAGGGATTTTGCTACATTTTTTGATACTTCCCGGATGCAAAGTGATACGTTTTTTTGCCACTGGATCAGGTCCGTCACTGTACAATGGTCAGCTTCTGAAATCTTCTATCTTACTTCGTGTTTGGTCTTCAAATTGACCTTTTCGTTAATCCCGAGCATGCAATAGTCCTATTTTTGGAAAAAAGAGCCTAAAAGCTGTTTTGATATTTCTGCTATTTTATACGTATTAATGATCGTCTACTACGACCTTTTTTTATGGCGTATATCGAGATTTTTAGCTTACTAATTTGTACAAGCTGTACTGCATAAAGAACGCCTAATCTGTTTTGAAAAGACAAGGGATTAAAAACGCCACGCTGCACTTTATAATTCCAAACAGTAAATTTCGAAAGAATCCCTAAATTCTCCGAAATGTCATCACTTCCCACCTTCGCATTTCACTTTCCTCCTCCGAAATGCCTTCTTTATTTGCTACAGCCAGACATCCATCGTTAACGGCCGGATTCTGTTATGTGCACGCCAGTTCCTTCGGATGACCTTCTAGGGTCAAAAGGGATCCGAAAGAGATGCAGGAAATGGCAGCCAACCCAGAAAAGCCTTGCATTTTCGATCGGTTTTATTTGTTTTTGGAAAAAATTAGAAATGTGAAGTCCTGTAATCTAACAAGGGAAGTACCCCAGGTCCGATGCTCAGATTTTCTTTAAATTTTGCACACACGTCGGGTATCAACTAAATATCGATTCCTGAAAGTTTTAGCTTGCGCTTTGCAAGCGTCGCCGAGAGAGTACGCTAAACGCGGAAAGCGATAAAAGAGGAAAGCACTTTTGGCCACAACTTTGCTAGTTTCGTGCAGAAAAAATTGATTTTTTGTGGAAAACTTACCCTCTATGGTAGAAATGGGCATGAAGCTTTTCGTGTCAAAATTCGGCAAAAAGTCTTAAATTTTCGCCGGCTTTCGATCTAAAAATCTCAGTTTTTTCTGCAAAGCGTTTGCTAGAATTCTCGCATATACCTTAGAAAAAATTATTCTAAATTTGTGCCAAGTTTCATCAAAATCTGAGCGTCGCACTTGGGGTACTTCACTTGTGAATTAAGACTAAAAACGTTGCTCCGCTCTCCTAATTATCTATTCGGTTGGGACCGTTGGATCTCTCAACTGCCTCTGCAAGCCAAAAATTTTTATTACTCTTCATGTTCGTTGCATAATGTTTGTATAAACCCAGCACCAGCGATTAGAAATGCGAATTTATGCGAATAATGCAAAAATTTTGATGGCTCGGCTGACTCGCGGGTGTTTATTCGACTTTGAGCACAATGGAATTTCCTAATCGATTTTATGACGGAAATTTTTATTGGCTCTTCCAACGAATTATACGGCTTATTAGCAAAGTTTTCGATTGTTGGAGACGGTAGTTATAGATAACTTTTTTCCGTGCCTTGTTAAGTAGTTCTAGGATAACAGGCAGGAAGTTCTGCGTAATCTAGGGCAGGGAGCAAAAGGCTGCACAACATTTTGATCTTATTTGTTATTTGGCTTCGAACTCTCTTCAAGCGTGTTCAATTGAGCTTTGCGTTGAATTATAACGACCTCGGAATTAGTGATGGTAATCCGGAAAGTGGAGTTTAACCACGAACCTATCACTTGTTTGTTTATACGGTGTGAGCTCAAATTTGTACTCCGTGATTTTTCTATTAGTATTTACAGGGGAAGTACACCAAGTGCGACGCTCAGATTTTGATGAAACTTGGCATAGATTTATAATAATTTTTTCTAAACTATATGCGAAAATCTTAGCTCGCGCTTTGCAGAAACAACCGATATTTTTAGATCTAAAGTCGGCGAAAATTTGACACTTTTTACCGAATTTCGGCACGAAAAGTTTCATGGCTGTTTCTACCATAGAGGGTAATGTTTCCACAAAAAATCAATTTTTTTCCGCGCGAAACTGGCAAAGTTATGGCGAAAAAGTGCTTTTCTCTCTGACCGCTCTCTGCGTTTTGCGTACTCTAAAAAAAGATACAAAGATCGTTCAATTGAATTGATAAAGAAAGTAAATTTGTTAAAATTGAGAAAGTCGGTATCCATTGCCTTCTTCAAAAATCACACTTAAAAAAGTAAATGGATTCAGCGAACGGTAGATTATGCGATATATTTCCCAGGCCCTTCGCGAAAAAAGCCGATAAAAACGTTGAAAAAGAGGATTAGGCATTCTGAATTGGGTCTTGACAAACGTTCGGAACGAAAGAATGTCATAAGGGAAGAAACTTGTTGTCAAATTGTTCTTTTTCGACTGTGACGTAGTAAGTGTGTTTACCACTGCCGCTAAAGTGGAGGAGGGGGGTTGAGAAAATTTCGGAGGGGTTCTTTGCAACAGTTTTAAAATTTGCAACAGTTTTTTTTACGGTGGAACAAAGCTTTAAAAAAAACATAGCCAAAAATTTATTTTCTTTCTGATCGTCGTCGCCCTTTTGCCTACTCTCTGGCCTGCTAAGGTCGGATACATAAAAGGGTCGGCCACTCGAAACTCCCAAACTCTTTTCAGGTATCTCTCCGCCAGTAATGCACCAATTTCTATAAAATTTATATCAAATTAAATCTGAGCCACCTCATTTCTTGTCCACCATATATGACATTAAAGACTTCAAATTTGGCATAAAAATGTAAGAGGTCAGCACAGGTGCCTCCGCGAAGTTAGACAGGCCATATTTGGTGGACAGTAAATGTGGTGTCTCAGCTTCAATATGATATCAATTTGATAGAAATTGATGCATTATCGGAGAAATACCTGAAAAGAGGCTGGGAGTTTCGAGTGGCCCACCCTATATAACATCTTCGCGAAGCGCAAGCTTATATCTTTAACAATAAATACACCTTTGAATATGGTATATTTGGACACGATTTGCAAGCAGATGCGAAAGTTTTTAGCGACTTATTTGTTTCACAACCCAACACGTGGTTAGCCCAATAATAAAATTACAATACTCATCATCTAAATACAATTAACTCCCACCAAAAATATCGACCAATTCCAAGAAATCTTGCCGCAAATCCCGATCTCTGATATTAGCCCACTCAAAACTTTCCCCCCATATTTTAAACATCACCCCGAATTATTTGGAAAGCCAGCATTTTAAGCCCGGTGCCCGCCCAGAATGTCCTCTCTAATCCGACGAATCTCGAGAATTCTTAAATCCGAATGATCTTGCAGAGCGGATGACAGTCTCGTACACCTTGCTCGTCTCCGGCGCCCAGCTGGAGAGCTTCGTGCGCCTGCTGATACGATGGCGGGGCTCCGTGTGGAAAGCGGTCCTGCCTCAGCTCACGGTCTGGACGTTGGCATATATGGGTATTAGTATGGTGTACAGATTCGCGTTTGATCGGGATCAACAGGAGTAAGTGTTGTTTCTAAAAAATTTTTAGACTTGCCGATCTTTTTCAAAGCTTCATTTGGTTGTTTACGATGCTTAAATTTTCTCTTATTTGAATGTCCCGGAAATCTGTAATTGCGTTTTCTAGAATATTCGAAAAAGTTGTCCGATACTTTGACAAAGACCTCAGCAAATACCTCCCTCTCAGTTTTCTACTCGGTTTCTTCGTCACGCAGGTTGTAAGTCGGTGGAGTCATATCACAGAGGATTTTGGATGGATTGACAAGTAAGTTTGGTCGTATTTACAGTGTAGGACCGGTTCCAGTGGCAAAAACGTACCATTTTACATCCGGGAAGTATCAAAAATGTGGCAAAATGCTTCCCTCTCCAAGTGAAAAAAACTTTGTTTTGAAGAGCGCGGCCTTTTTCCTCATAAAAAAAGAGAGATTTTTCACTTGCAGAGGGAGGTATTTTGCCACATTTTTTGATGCTTCCTGGATGCAAAATGGTATGTTTTTTGCCACTGGATCTGGTCCGCCACTGCATAATGTATATAGTCTATCGCCCTTTCATTAATATTGTTTTACTTTCACTGTATGGCTGACAGTGACAGTGCTTCTAGTTTGGCTTTCAATTTGATGAAAATTGGCATAAATTTTGATTAATTTTTTCTTACAATTAGACAAAAAACTCCTTTTAAAATAATTTTTTATTTGTCAGTTCGGCCACAAATTTTGCCAATTTTATTCACGGGACGGACGAGGAAACGAGGATGTGTCGAAGGACGCTGATTCGATACATGGTGCTAAATCAAGCGCTGGTTTTGAGGGACATCAGTATGCAGGTCAGGAAACGGTTCCCCACCTACGAGACAATGGTTGCTGCAGGTGAGGAAAAGAAATATATCTTCTTTGTTGCTCCATTTTTGCCGTCCTCGGTTTATAATGAGCTCCGGTTGGTATTGTGATATTCAAAAAGCGTATTTAACGTCTAAGCCAAAACAATGTAAAGGAGTTTCTTTTAGGCTTTATGACCGACAAAGAGCGAGAGGAACTGATGAGCGTGCATGATGAATACACGAGGTATTGGATGCCATTACATTGGTGTTATGGGATTCTGGACAAAGCCAAACACGACAAACGTATTGACAGCGATCATATTCTTGTCTACCTTGTGGAGGTAGGCCTCCATTGAACTTTATTTTTCTATCTTATTGTGACAACAAATGAACTTTTTTCATTAACCATCGTCATTTAGGATCTGCAACACTTCCGAGAGGGCCTGACAAGATTGCTGAAATTCGACTGGATTCCTATTCCTTTGATCTACCCGCAAGTCGTATTTCTGGCTGTACGAATGTACTTTGGGATCTGTTTAGTTAGTCGGCAACATATCAAAAGCGATGAGGTAGGAATGAGACAACTTTAAAAAAAACTTTTGTACCATACAGTGGGGGACCTGATCCAGTGGCAAAAAACGCACCATTTTCTAAAAAGGAGTATCAAAAATGTGGCAAAATGCTTCCCTCTCTTTTTGCAAAGCTCTGGTTTTAAAACTGCGCCCGCTCTTTTTGTGAGGGAAAGGGCGCCCTTCAAAACGATTTCTTTTTTCATTTGGGAAGCATTTTGCCACATTTTGCCGCGCCCTTCAAAACGAAGTCTTTCCACTTGGGGAGTGAAGCATTTTGCCACATTTTTGATGCTTCCCGGGTGCAAAATGGTACGTTTTTTGCCACTGGATCGGCTCCTTCACTGTAAGTCTTCTTCTTTGCCGCAAAACTTTTCAACTTTTAGCATTTTCCATTAAAAATCTTTTTCCATTAAAAATCTCTCCAATTTTCCAGCTAGACCTCTGGGTACCCATTATGACAATGGTTGAGTTCTTTGTCTACATGGGATGGATGAAAGTTGCCGAAGCCCTCCTCAACCCTCTCGGAGAGGACGACGATGACTTGGAAATCAACTGCGTGATGGACAAGAATTTGATTACCGGCATGTTGTTGGCGGACCGTGGAGCGAACGATGTGCCAAGCCTAACAAAAGACAAACATTGGAATGACCATGTGATTCATCCATTATACACATACACCGCAGCTGGAAGAACGGTTCAGCCGCTGGTCGGAAGTGCCTATGAAGTCAAGTAAGTGGGCTTATAATGTTCAGCAATCGACAAGCCTCGGACAACAAAAAAAAATTTTTCAGTGTCTCAGAGTTCTGTGTAAAAAAACAACGCACCTGATCCAGTGGCAAAAAAACGTATCGTTTTGCATCCGGAAAGTATCAAAAATGTGGCAAAATGCCTCCCTCTCCAACTTATTGAACTGCGCGCCCTTTCTTTGAGCAACAATAAGTAGTGGGCGCGCTTTTGAAATCGGAGTTTTTCACTTGGAGAGGGAGGTATTTTGCTGCATTTTTGATACTTCCCGGATGCAAAATGACACGTTTTTCGCCAATGGACCGCTGCACTGCACGTCCGTCAAAAAATAATTATAAAAGAGATCAAAATCTAAATCAAAAATTTCATTTTTCCAGTATGGTTGAAGACGAATCTAAAGTCCACATGGTACCTCACAAATCCAGACTGAGCCATTTGGGCAAAGACACTTATGTCAGCTGCTCAGAGGTGGTTGATGTAACCGGTCACAACAAAGCTCATTCGGAGAAAGTGCGGAGCAAAAGGGAAAATAATCACGACAGAGCGTGGAAAAGTATTCGCGACAGGAGAAAGTAAGTGAGTTTTTTATTGAAAGCTTCATTGCACAGTATTCTGTACTTTTGGGGCACAACCGACCTCCGGGACTTTTTCATTTTTTTTCGGAATGCGCTTGCTTTTTCTCTCCATATTTCGCTAGCCGTTTGCGCTAGAAGGCTGAAATTTGGCATGGCAGTAGAGCAAAAAGCTGGCTTTCAGAAAATATAAATATTGTCAGGAACCCCGCAGTACAAACTTCCCGTTATTCAAGTCTTTGAACGTTTGTTAGACTATAGTACCGTTTTAAACGTTCTCTGTCCATAAAAAGAAACATCTAAAGTAATGCACTACATGTATACAGTTGCTCTCATCTTTTATTTCTTCCATTGTCAAGTTTAAAGTCGTGAAATATCCTTGCTATGCATATAAAAGAAGGTCGTATAAGTAATTTACTTTTCCATTTCAGGGTAAAGCCAACCAATGAAAACTCCGTGATCCTCAACGGCCGTGACAAGACGGTTGTGGACCTGGACAATAACACTGAACGCTCAAGATTCTGACCTTGTTATTCGTTGTATTAAAGATTCTTTCCATAAACTAAATAAACTTCTAATCATCAAACTCTCGGGGCAAAATAAGCTTTCTGCCGTGAGCTTTCAAATTTTGTCCCGAATTTAATAAAGCTTTTTAAAATTGCGATTCGCAACGCGGCATTTTTTAAACATAAGTTTACTTTTTATTGGCTGCAGACTTCATAGCCATGCGAGAACAATGAGGTATACGAATTATCAAACAGTAGCGAAGGGTCAATTAAAAAAGATTCAACAGGCTTTACATGCCCATCCGGGAACAACTGCTTGATTGGTATCGGAATTATCGGTACAACTTTCCATTTTCTATTGTCTCGACGGTCGTGTGCTGTTGGTTTTGAAACGTCTGCCGGCGCTGCTGGCCAGAGAGGCGGCTGTAGATCAAGGCTGGGCTCAACGGGTGAAAATGCGCCGAAATAAGAGGCCGCCGGGCTGGGCGGTTGAGTTGAACCTTGGCAGCTCGACACTGTAGTCGGTTGGTCGACGGAAGAGCTGGAGGTGCTCGGGGAGCACGTAGGAGATTGAAAGTGGCTGCGGCGTTCGTCTATCCGCCGGCGATTCAGCTTGTTCACAAAGTCGCGGATTCTCTTCCGATGGAAGTCAACTTGATGACACTGGAATATATTGGAATATATACCATTATAATTGGTCCAATACAAATATCTTTATTCATTATTGAAATGAATAAAGATGTTTATCAGACAAGGAAAGTATCCCAAGCGCGACGCTCATATTTTTGCCCAATTCTATACAAACATGTGACATATTGCCGCCGAAACAGTATGCTAAATGGAGAGGCACCAGAAGGCCTAGTTTCTGCCATAAGCTGTGAATGCAAGCTAGGAATGCTTCTTCGAAAAAATTAATCGCAATTTGTGCAAAATGTCCTTAAATTCGGAGGCTTCCCTTATTCGTAGTCAAACTAAAAAAGGCGTAAAACTTTGTTCTTGCTAGTAAAAGGATAACAGTGTAAAATGATTACCTTCTGACAGTCACAGCCGATATATGGACAACATCGAGAGTGCCCACTGTACGAACTCTCGACCCCATGCATACGACACTTCTTGCAAGTCCTTTTCATCGCTTAAAATAAAGCCCAAGTGTTTCAAAGAAAGCCTCAAGACGCTCTTTGTAGCGACTGGAGAGCAAAGTGGAATAACTTGGTGAAATCTTTAAGAAATAAGTACGCCGCATTATCGGCGGACGGAATCAACAACGAAGGCAGAATATCATAAATCCTCTAACCGCCTCCGTATATTGCGATTAAGATGTGGGCGGGAGGCGCGGACGGGCGCGGTACGGCACGCTGTTCCTCTGGGCAGGTATGTAGGCGGTGTAGGTTGTGCTCGCGTCATTTGCGGACGAAGCTATTGCATAAGGCTAATGTAGCGGTAACCTTGGTCTTTTGCCGTCAAGGTTTATTTCTAAGGAAAAGTCGAGTTTTTCTTGCCCCGTACCGATGGTTGTCCCGATCTCAATCACATGTCAAACGTTGGGCACGTATGCACTGGGAGCGGGAAACTCCAACGAGGAAGTTGACATACAGGGTGGTTCAGCTAACTTCGCGGATGTAAAATGCTTATAACTTTTTATAGGATTGTTCAATTTTTATGCGCAATAGCTCATTTTATTCCTTAGTAGTTACCATTTTGTTTAAAAAAAGATCATTAAAAATGATCAATCCTACGTCGAGTTATGACCCTTCAAAGTCATACATGCTTTTTCACGCTTCAATCTGAAAATTTCCGAAAAATCTCGAAAATCGCTTATAACTTTCGAGCGGTCGATAATTGTAAATTGTAAGTGGGCTTCAGAAGTCATAGAATTTTGCGTAGAATACGATGGAATCAAAAAAAATCCGAAAATTCCAACCGTTAGGGGTGATATCCGGAGGGCATAGATATGCAAATTTCGAAAAAACGCAAAGTTTCGGCCCCATTCGCTGATGACGTTAGCCAAAAAGCTAAGGGCTACCCAAAAAATGTGAAAAGTTACAAGCATTTTACATCCGCGAACTTAGCTGAACCACCCTGTACTTACCTGTCCAGAATCAAGCACACTCTCATTTGGGACAAGGGAAGGTCCCAACTGCAACTATCAGATCTTATTTAAATTTTGTGCGCACGTAGGGCATATGCCAGGCGAAAATATTAAAATCAGGCGTGCACACATTTGCGGGCAACCACTTTGCGGGAAATTTCTTTGCTGGCAACAGAAAGAACGAAACACGGTGATTCTGTTGGAATTTTTTGAAGTCATCCAACCCTTATTTTTTGAATACAATATCTCGAGTTTGGGTAACTCAATTCACAATAGGTTAAGGTTATCTTTCGTCCAACTTAAAAAAACAGTTGCTCGGAAACGTCGGTTGGTTATACGGAAGTTCCAACAGAATCAGCATTATCTTACCCCCAAATGTCGGCAGGTCTTCCAAAAAAACCCACAGTGTCGCAGAAATTCTTTTATCCTGTTGCCCGCAAGTGTCGGCTGCCCACAAATGTCGATACTGCCCTCAAATGCCGGCTGTCTGCAAAGTGGTTACCCGCAAAAAAATGCCCACAAAATGGTTGCCCGCAACGTAAGTAAGTAAGCAAAATGTCATCACAATTTTCCGTCGTTTTTTGTAGACGAATAAACTTTTTCGACATTCGCTTTTCAAACCATAAAAGCCTTAGAAACGCTCAATAACTTGTCTGACGTATTTTTCCGACTTTGTAGGGTAGGGCAGGGTAAGATTTGTTTCAAAAGCTCTGTACGGCACTCACCACACTTCAGCCTACTGTCTCAAAAACCCATCGCATTGCCGATGTGTTTGTTTATTTCATGTCTAATCAGCACTTTACCAAGACACGAATTCCCGCGGAGGCCATTGATAGTTGGTCAAAAATTAAGCGCAGAGATTGTTTCTGCTGATTTCTAATTTGATATCTGTTTAAAATCTCGAAAAGTAAATTTTCGGCGCCCACGGGAAACATATATGTCAACGCACCAAACTCAGATAATTGAGAAAGCCTCTCGGCGGAAAAAAATGAGGGGCATTCCGGAATTTGGAAAATGGCACCACTCACAAGTCCCTTCAATCTCAGCATATCAATTGAAATGCCTAGAACAGCTTATCAGCGTTACTCTCGTGGCCAGTCGGCCGGGCCGGACTATCTTCGGTCGGTCAAGGAATTTGGGGATCGCAATAGATGGACTTTTTACGCGACATCATAGAGAAGCTTGGAAAACAAGGCATCCGGAAAACTTTCTCTTTTGTCCGGAAGCAAACAATTACGTATATTACATATAATACATATTCTGCATGTGGGTTTTTAATTGATTTACTGCGGAAAACATACATTTAGAGCCTTTCTTTTGTCAAGACGTAAAAGCAGCAGTTTCAGAGATACGCTTGTTTTCTGTGGTTTACAAATGCACAGTTTCTCCTTGCAGAAGCCACCAACGTTTTTAGATCGAAAGTCGCCGAGCAAAAGTCCGCATGGTTTTGCGGTGTCACGACTTTGCGTGCGAATTTGCATATTCTCACGGAATGACCGACAAATTGGTATAAAAGGAAGAGAAGTCGCCAATTATTATTGTACTATTTTTGTGTCTGTTTTTCCCGGTTGGATGTTGCAATAAATCGTACTTCTACTTCTACTTTAGTCTATTAGTATTGCGTCTATGGTCAGCCCTTGTGAAGTTGGTTCCTCAAGTATTGTGAGTTCATTTGTGACGTTGTTTCATTAGTATTGTTAGTCGTTTGTCATCGTGCTTTGTATAGTATTATTTGGGCTTGGGATCAGAAATAGCAACTAGATTAGGGACCTTTACACACGTGCTCTCACTGAACTCGTGACAGCGGGTTTTTCAAACAAAAAAAAAATTACTCAGATTCTTACAAGACACGATATACTGCAATTTCCGCTTTTCGCGTAGTTTCTTGAAGGCGAAGGTTGCTAAATATTTCGCCTGTAACTCCAATATTTTCAGGAACTGATGTGCTGGGCAGAAGACGTGAGAAGATTTAAATACAGTGACGGACCTGATCCAGTGGCAAAAACGTATCATTTTGCATCGGGGAAGTATCAAAAAATGTGGCAAAATGCCTCCCTCTCTAACTAAAAAAAACTCCCTTTTGAAAGGCGCGCCGTTTCCCTCACAAAAACAGCCTTTAAAATCGGAGTTCTTTCACTTGGAGAGGGAGGTATTTTGCAACATTTTTGATACTTCCCGGGTGCAAATTGATACGTTTTTTGCCACTGAATCAGATCCGCCAGTATTAATATCGTTTTACTTTCTATGATATCATAATTTCCAACTACTTTAATCTAAGCATTGAGTTGCAACTTATACATTACACAGCTTTTGATCCGCATATCTCCATACCCGTGCATCGAGAATCCTGTTTCTTTCTTCGCAACTGAAATTTAGATAAAGCGGCTCCGAAAATGGAGCGCGGTGTTTTTCGGGGGTTTCAATGTTAATGTGGTAGCACCAGTTTTTTTTTTAATTTGATCCTTCATTGGTGTAGGAGGCAGATCCGACCTTCCGATAAATGTTTGAGTTGCGACCCAATTCCCGGATTCGAAATGGCACGTATGACGTTGTCTGATTGCCAACAGCACTACAAAATGTGTATTTCAAAATCTAATCGACACATGCCAAAAGACTCTCTGTCTTTGCGTTCTGCATAATCGGTACACAAGGGGAATTGCACTATGAATCGGGGAGTTTTCTGGTTCCATTGAATCAATCAAAATGTCACAAATTTCGTTGCGATCTTTCATCAGAATGATGCAGCATTTTTGTTCTGGCGTTTTTCTAACAGGAGCCTGCCTGAGCATCGGCAGCGATCTAGATGAAACTTGACGCAAATTTACAAGGTAAGTACTCCACGTGGGACGTTCAGATTTTAACGGATCTTTGCCAAAATTTAGAAAAAATTTTTAAAGACATACAGTGAGAGCACTGACCCACTGGCAAAA